ATTGCAGGTGAATGTTGTATGTCTAACCAAATCCACCTAATCTTTTCTCTCGCAAAATGAATATAGTAAGTAGGAGAAGCCACAAGCATCTCAAACTCCGGACCTACTTTTAATAGGATAACCTATAACTGTTCCAGAAACTATACCACAATGTGTTTTGCATAATTCCTCTCAACTTGATACCAATGACTTGTAGAAAAGCCTGCAGAATTATTTTTGAGAGTTCATTCGGAAGGAGGATACCAGTCATCGGTTTGTTTCAGATCTCCTTAGCTATTCTTGGTTTTAATCAAAGGATGGTATTCGCAAGCGCTTTTGATCTATCCCTTGAATATCCAGCAACAAGACCGACAAAACCTGGAATCAAAGCTCCGATCTATTTGGGAGTCGGCAATTTCAACGGAAATTGGAGTTGAGTAGGCATAAATTCTGGGCAAATGACTGACTGTTGCCAGTTGGTCCATCCCGATGTTGCAACCAAGTATTCTGCGCTAGCTGCTGAGATCCGCCACGATTGCTCTCGCAGTTGCTATTAGAGAATGTATACTGGTTTAGTATCGGTTCATTTTATTTATTCTGCAAGTGTATATAACTTTGTGTACAGCTTATTCATTAAAAAAAAAGGGAAAATATTCGCAACAAACTTTCTCTCTCATCTTTTCACTCTCATTTCCTTGTTCGTAATATCGATCCTCTCTCGACTCTTCTCTTTCTCTTGCGTTGGTTCGATCGTCTTCCAGAAGAAACAGATTCTTCAGCACCGATTCCGATGACGAAATGGAGCTCTTAGGTTAGATCGATGCGATGCGATGGAGAGTCGATTGAGCCCGAACGGGAGGAAGCATCGGCCCTTAGGGTTGCAAAATCGGGACAACAACTGCTACCTAAATAGCGTTCTTCAGTGCCTCACCTTCACTACTCCCCTTGCCGATTTCTGCCTTGGTCGCCAACACTCCTCTAAGTGTACGTTTCTCTCGACAAATTTTCTTCTTCCATATGTATGTGATAATGCGCTTTCTCTGTTTCATATAGGCCACTCACTTGTGGATGGGGATGATTGTCCTTTTTGTATCCTTGAGAAAAGAATAACAAGGTCTCTTACCTTGGAGCTAACTCATGACGAACCAGGCCAGATTTTAAGCTCCCTTGGCATTTTTGCTAAGGATTTTGCGGCTAGTCGCCAAGAGGATGCTCATGAGTTCTTGCGATGTGTGATTCATGCATGCCAATATATTTCTCCTCGCCTGAGGACATCGGAAACAGGTGATGCTGAGCCCTTTACCGGCGAATCTGTGCTCAAGGAGATTTTTGGTGGTGCTTTGCAGAGCCGGGTGGAGTGTCCATCATGTGAAGCGGACTCAATTCAGGTGGAAGAGACTATGGATATCAGCCTTGATATTTCGCACAGTGATTCAGTGAAGGAGTCATTACAAATGTTTTTTGAGCGTGAGATTTTAGATGACAACAACAAATTTACTTGCGCCAAGTAAGTGATATGACTCCTTAGTCCTCTTCTATCAGTTTGTGGTGGTTTTTTTTTTTTGCTTAACCGAAAAGTTTCATTCGTTCGTGTAGATGTAATCAGGTGGTAAAGGCGACGAAGCAGTTGTCGCTACTCGAAGCCCCTAATGTCCTTGTCATCCATTTGAAAGTAAGTAAGTGCATCATGTCTCGGTTTATAACATTTCACATGTGTGTTTTAATGAGTTGATTTTACAGAGGTTTGATAATGTGAGCAACAAGATTGAGAAGCCCATTGCATTTGATAAGATTCTGGTTCTCTCGAGCTTCTTGGATGAAGCAAGCAAGGTACACGATTCTGACACTTTCTACTTGACCTAAGTTTATTTGATCATGTCAGAGGCTGCTAATGCTTCCAAGTTCCTTTACAGAAGTTCTATACGATTCTCAGTCCCTGCATCTACTCTACCTTGTGAATTTTTTCTGGCTACAATGTAATTGTACTTCCCAACTCCTGCTTTTTCTTAATCAATTTACTCTATCGACTCAAAACTGCAGGACCATCAAGCTGAATATGAGCTTTTTGGGGTAATTTTGCACTCAGGATCAACTCTTGAATCTGGGCACTATTGTGCATATGTTAAGGTTTTTTTCTCTCTTTTTAGTTTTCATGCAACACAAATTTTTCAACCTGATGTGACGTTTCAACTGACTTGTGTAGGATTCCTTGGATCAATGGTATTGCTGCGATGATATGCTAGTCTCACTCTCCACCTTGCAAGGTGTTTCTTTAGAGGAAGCATATATTCTGTTTTACAGTCGTTCCAACCAAAGGCCAGCCTCTGCTGAAGCTTTGGTAAAAACTAATCCTTCTTATCTCTATATAAAACAATTTATTTCCTGTGACAGTGTTTCTTATCTTCAATCGCCCACTAATATCTGTTTGACAGAACTCCTCTGAGGGAAGTCTTTCCATGTTAAGTGAAAATGTGTACGTGGTGGAGCGTGATTTTGATAAGATTACTGCGCGACTTAAGAAGCTTAGCTATGGGCTTAGCAGCGACCATTGCGACCCTGGCCTTGTTGCGCAGAAAGTCTGTGCCACTTTCTGTAAGGAATTTACCACTGATCAACTTGACGAGTTGGCTGCTGACATTGCTGCTGCCATGACCTGTAGCCATCCTGATTATGCATCTGTGAGTTTTCAGATCAGTTTTTCTCCTCTGCCATTATGAGTTTCTTTCTGATTTTGGTTAGTCATTTCTGGAGAAAGAATCTCTCTGATTGGATTGGTATTTCTTTTGATTGAACTGCGCAAGCACAACCTTCTTATTTTTTTTATGTTGGAACTATTCACTGTACTCTTTAAGACAGTTTTGATTATTGACCTGATACTTGCATGTTCCGAGCAGTTAAAATGTTTTTTGTTTTGTCTTTTATTTTCAGCTTGCTGCTAGGATTGCTGTCTCAAATCTTCATCAGAACACTAAGGAATCATTTTCTGAGACGTGAGTAGAATTTATTTTTGTTTGGCTTGACTATATGTTCCTATGAATTTTGTTTGATCATCGATTGTCCGGTATTTTCAGGGTTCATGACATGTTCAATAATATCAATGAGAGATCTGGACTGCAGGCTTCTCTACTAGATTATGATGTATTTTTGATAGTTGAGAAGGTAATAATAGTAGAGAAGCCTTTAGATGGTATGGTTGATGTCCTCCTAGGGATGTATCACTGAACTGTGCTTTCCATTTTGGTTTCAATATATATCAAAACGCTGCTCGCCTGGACAGCGAAATCGTTTATGACCGGGATTTTGAGTATGATTACTTTGGATTTAAAATGATTGAGAGATTGTACCTCATGAAAATCCAAGGGAAAGTTGTTGAAAGGCCTCAACACATGCTTATGAGGGTTGCTCTTGGAATCCACACAGACGATATCGAATCTGCAATCGAAACTTACCATTTGATGTCTCAGAGATGGTTCACTCACGCTTCTCCTACTCTCTGTAACGCAGGAACTCCAAGACCTCAAGTAAGTAAATACCTATATATAGTTAATTCATGTATTCTTAAACGCATTTTGATGAATTGCTATTGAAAATAATTGAATTGGCAGTTAAGCAGCTGCTTTCTTATCTGCATGAAAGATGATAGCTTCGAGGACATATATGAAACTCTCAAAGAGTGTGTTGTTATAAGCAACTCTGGTGGCAGTATTGGTGTCTCAGTTCATAATGCCCCTGCAACTGGAAGCTACATCTGTGGCACAAATGGAATGTCTAATGGTATTGCTCAATTGCTGCGTGTACTCAACAATACCGCTCACTATGCTCGTTATGTTGATCAAGGAGGAGGCAAACCGAGTGGTACATCTCAGCTTTGCTACTGTTAGCGATATCATTTGTGTAGTATTTGATCCCCACTCTATCTCATGTATTCTGTAATTTGGTGAAGGAGCCTTTGCTGTATACCTGGAGCCATGGCATGCTGACATCTATGACTATCTAGAGCTCGGGAAGAACGACGGAAAGGTACCGCAGAGTCATACCAAGATAATTCACCATGTTCTCTTCAGTTGTAATTTCCAAATTAGTCTGCTACAAATGTCAAAATACGATTTTCCAATGCAGGAGGAGCACAGAGCTAGAGACTTGTCTTATGCTCTTTGGGTTCCAGATCTTTTCATGCAGAGAGTCAAGAGTGATGGGGAGTGGTCACTGTTTTGTCCTAATGAAGCTCCGGGTTTGGCAGATTGCTGGGGGAAGGAATTTGAAAGTCTGTACATGAAGTATGAAAGAGAGGTGAATCCCATATTTCATCCATGTATATACCCTGCTTCTTATGTAACTTGAATTTATTTTCTCTGTGATAAAAAGAAAAAGAGTTCTTGTTGTCTGAATACAAGTTATGTTTGTTACATGGTCTCTAGGGAAAGGCCAAGAAGGTTGTTGAGGCGCAAGATCTTTGGCTTGAAATCTTGATATCTCAGCTAGAAACAGGAGGAATGCCATACATGCTTTTCAAGGTAAGTTAGTACATTCATGACTCTCTATAGCTAAATGTAACCACTGGTTCTTACTGTTGATCCTTATAGGATACATGCAACAGGAAAAGCAATCAGCAAAATGTAGGTACCATAACGTCCTCCAGTTTATGCGGTGAAGTTATTGAATACAGTAGTCCAACAGAAACTGCTGTGTGCAACAATGCATCAATTGCTTTGCCTAGATTTGTAAGGGAGAAGGTGAGTTTTTGCCAGTTGGCTAAATTTGCTCTTCCTTCGTCACTCGACTAAAGTATATAGCTCTAACATTCTTCTTCTCACAACAGAACGTCCCATTGGAGCCTCATCCATCTATCCTCGTTGGCAGTCTCGGCTCAAAGAATCGTTACTTTGATTTTGACATGTTAGCCAAGGTAAGATAAATACTAAACACTTGCCTCATTTTTCCTCTCTGTGATAGATAGATACAAAGTTAACCTTTTATATATTT